AACGCCAAAATACCATTTACTGGAGATGATCGAGATTTTTATTATGAAATTAATCTTGAAGAAGTTTCTCCAGTTTTATTACAATATGTAAGAGGTGAAAGGAAACAAAAAATGGAAGCTGCTGAATGGTTAATTTATCTTGATTACAACACGATCAAATCAATGTTTGACCCGATCATTGAAAGAATTTTACGTATGATGCATGTTCAAATTGAAAATACTTCTGGAGTTGACAATGATACTGAAAAAAGGAAGATCGATATAATTTTTTTGGTGGGGGGGTTTAGTGAATCAGTATATTTGCAAAATAGAATCAGAGAAGAATTTCCAGGTTATAATATTTCCGTTCCTACCAATCCTATTGCAGCAATTTCTCGTGGCGCAGCCATTTATGGTTTGGGCTTTAGCGAAATGGATGCGTTAGGTATGAATGGTCAATTCTTTATTATTGATTCACGTGTATTAAAATATAATTATGGGATCAAAGTTTGGAAAGCCGATGAAGGATTTACTTTTAAACGTTTAGCAACAAGAGGAGTTGAAGTTAAAATCAATGAAGAATTTAGTGTTAGAGTTCGACCCAGTCACCCGTTTCAAAGCACTGGGATATTTGAAATTTATTACACACAAAGTTTTTCAGCGAAAACTTGTGAAGAGGTAGGAATGAAATTACTTGGAAAACTTAAAATTGATTGGTCAGAAGATAAGCATGTGATGAACAGACCAACTACTTTTAAATTGGCATTTGGTAGAATGGAAATCAAAGCGACAGCAAAAAATGAAATTAACGGTCAAACTTATGAAACGTCCTTTGATTTAATAGACGAATGAAAATTTTTTTTTTACATTATTTTTTTTTGTTGCAATATTTACTAGAATTCTTTTTTTTTCATGTTTGCAATTAACAATGTTTATTTAAAGAAATTTAGAATAAAGCTTTTATTTATGTTATATATATGTGTTTATTTCGCAATTTATAAAAAAGCGAATACATCGTAAATTCTAAAATTTGAAACTATAAAATCATACTTCTTCGTCGGACTCATTGGTAACTCGTGAAAATACTTTTGCAACTGTAAATACTTTTCTATTTGGAGACGCCAAATCTCGCCCAATTAGAGGAAAATAACAAATACCAACACGTAATTGATTGATATCACCATCATCATCGTCCCAATTTCCGTTCATTATATTTGGATCAATTTTAATATTCTTTTCAAACAAAGTAGGTTGCACTACCGGTTCTTGAACATTTAGACGAAACCAAAATAATTTGTAAATATCTTGAACAAGTTTTGGTGCCATCGCTTCAACTTTCTTTT